GGGATGAGATACCTGGAGTCTTAAGGTAACGCGCAGCACCCTTCAATGTAGATTGCTAAAGGCAAAATTTAGCTCCGTTGCCATTCAACCAGTTGATCATCCAGCGAGCTAACCTGTCGGGACTTTGATTCTTCAGAGAGGTAGTCTTTAGACTGATCAGCGAGATTCTCCACGGCGACCAAGACAGGTGTATGCGTCTGGCAACATTCCGGAAGACGGGAAAGACTTACGATCCCACCGCTTCGATTTTGGCTTGGTATAGCATGACTGGAGAAAACAAGGAAATCAGCGTCATTCGCAACCACACCCCCCCAACCGTATTACTCACAGGGCTCTTGAACATGTCACTGCTCGTAGCAGGCGCAATCCCTGTAGGGATTGGCGCACTTTTCGCTCTCAGACCCGCAATGCCATCGACTGTCAATGGGCAGGCAGACGTATCCGCGGCCTTAAGGTCGATCGAAGGACTCATTTTCTCGTCTCGGGTAATTCTGGTCTGGTGGCGGAATAGCAATTAAAATTGTGCAGGTAAGTTAGATGTGTCTGCGATATTCACAATAAGTATCCAGGCCTGGAGACACTGTGACAATCAGAATGAATACTAACTAAACAATAGCAAATACCCCCGTAGGTCAGTGCAGGAGGAATGTCCAGCAATTTGAGTCACGATACCAACGCCATTTTTGTCTCCGCCGACGACAAGAGGCGGGTCCGTTCCGCCCGATGGGGTTGACATCTTGACGAATCCGCATATCTCAACCTATGAGGGAGGTCACGCACAACTGTCATTGTTCGAAGCTGGGAAGCCCGAGAGAGCGCGCTGGACTCTCAATGGACGGAAGATACCCCTGCTGGGTTTCTCTTATCTAATTGATCTCTTGTGTCCGCGCTTCTGGGCCGCGATTAAGCAAGGGCCTGGTCACTGATCATTTACAGGGCGCGGGAGGGGGAATACTAGCAGACTGCCTAATTGGGTTAGTTGTACGGTATTGTACGGCTCAATACGCTTTCATAACTGCATCACCAGTTGTGCTTTGTTTGGGGGGACACTTAACAAGGCTTACGAACATAGCAGTTGCAATTGAACTTGTTTTAGGTCTATAATCCTAGAAACAATTGCATAGGAACCCTGACTGAACTCTCAGTGTGTTCTCTGGAATACATCTCTCTAACTATTATTGACTCGTACAGAGCGTCAACTGTAATATTGAGCCCCGCACGCATAGATAAGGCTAACGCCGGGATCGGAGCTTGATTGATAAGTGCCGGACAGCCGATAACCGATAAACACTTCAGCGTCAAGCGCAATTCTCGATGAGAATGGCGACACGTGACGCTGCCCTGGAACAATTACTATCATCAACATGAATTAATTTCTAGACCTCTAGGCTAAAATCTGCTCTACAAGAGGTCAACAGATACAATTGGTGGATAGGATCATCGCCTAGGCGACAGCAATCAACTAGAGAAAGGGCTGATGATTTTATGTCTCCTCTATTTCTTCTCAACATACTTTCCAGTGGTCCCGTCTAGCTGAGCTTCCAGTACAGCTGCGGTTCCGTTGAGCACACTCTGGATAGCCTCTGGTAGGAGCTTGCCTAGCTCGGCTACTGTAGCCGCCCGACCAGCCCAAACCTCACCTCCAGCTGCAGCCTTCGCAATGCCTGAATAGTCTGGGGTAGGAGCGAAAGAGATATTGAGATCTTCGTTCGTTGCACGCGAGCCATCTCCATTGGGATGAACCAGAAGCATGCTTCTGCGGGGTGCATTCCAGCCCTTGTTGTTCAGCACAATCGTGAGCACTGGGATATTGTAGCGCCGGGCAATCCAGTAAACGGAGCCTGGGACAGAGAAGAGGAACGTCCCGTCGCCCACCACCTGGCACACGAATCTACCCTTGTTTTTACCCCCGTGTTGGTCATCGGTAGCCAGCTTGATTCCCAAGGCACCGCCACCGGACCATCCCAGGCCACCGCCGCCGCAGTTGATCCAGGAGTTGGGCAGGGTAGCGTTGATCTGATCGGCTACAATCGCAGTAAGGGTTACTGCTTCGATGGCCCAGATGGTGTCTTCTGGGCAAGATTTTCGGACTTGAGCCATGAGGTAAGATGCATTCAATGAAGCGTCATCACCTCCAGATGGTACTCTGGCAAGGTCGGCCACAGCTTGACGTGTCTTCTTATATTCTTCTTCCCGGCGCTGCCCGAACGCGACCTGTTCTTCAGAATTGAGCATTTCCTGTAGAGCCTTGCTGGACGCGACGAAGTCGTTGATCTGCTTGAATGCCGTCGCAGACTCCGCCCGAAAGGTTGCTAGAGAGGGAATGTAGAAGACAGGGATTTGCTGCTTGAGCGGATCGACGTCAATGTGGATGATCTTGGCCGAATCCGATGGCTTGCACTGTGTTGGGATCCATGGTACATCGCAATCGGCAACTAGGATGAAGTCAGCGGTCTTGATAGCATCATGGACCCCATAGCGGAGTCCTAATGACGCAGGATGGTCGCCCGGAAAGCACATGTCGCATCCGCCCGTGTCCAAAACCCGGAGTCCCTTGAACGTATCGGCCAGTGTGACTAGCTCTTTCACCCCCCGAGCAGAGCGACCTGAGTAGCCTACGATCGCTAGAGGCGCTTTGGCAGCGGCCAGATGAGAGGCGATCAGCTCGACAGCCTCTGGCGTCAAAGCCGATGGTGCAACCGGTCCCCAGACGCCTTGAGCTAGCGTGTAGGGCTCTATCTCCTCTTCCATGACCTCTCGAGCACCGGTCAGGTAAACGGGTCCTTTCGGATCACTTGTCGCAAATTGAAGTGCCCGGTTAACCATCTGTTTTATGTTCTTGCCAGACTTGATTTCGGCCGAATAACGACAGTACTGAGACACAATCTGTTTCTGGTCGGGAACGTCTTGGATCCAGTGTATGTATTCGGTGCGGGAGCCGCGCATTTCTCCTTCGATCGTGAAGGGGGAGAGGCCGGCGAAGATCAGAACCGGAGCACGACCGCAGGATGCGTTGTGTACAGCAGCGGCTAGGCCTTGTGTTCCGACATCTACGTGAACAATCACGCACTGAGGCTTTCCGGTAAGTCGAGCGTAGCCATCTGCCATTGAAAGGGCGACCATCTATCGTGAGTAAGGCGATGTCAGCAGACTGGAGTCAAACCCGCCTCCAAATGAGACATATATAAGAGGCGAATCTAGAAATACCTCATTGGGGCAGGTGATGATCCTGGGGAATTGGCCTGGCTTCTCCTTTTGGCCCTTGACCATGGCCTCCAGGATCGATGGATGATCGGAGCCCAAGTTGACGAACGCATGTGTGACTCCAGCCTGTAGAAGTCAACCACTGAGACTTGCTTGATGGCTAAAGCTTTCTACCTCCCAAAGCGCCTCGAAGAAGGCGAAAGATGCGGTATAAACCCTGGCCATAGTAGAGTCAGCTCTAAAATGTACAGATAAATCAGAATGAGCACATACATCGTTGGATCTACCAGTAGAAATTGAAGCGAGAAGAGCAATTTCACTCGATGGTAAGCAAGGACTCTATATTATATAGAACGAGTGAAGAGAGAAACACAAACTCAGATCTCCTATAAATACCTGCAACTCAGCGGAACCCTCGCCGCGATGGAGAGAAGTCCGAACAATTAATAATGAGCATCGCACAGCCCAGGCGTTTGGCTCACTATTTCGGCAGTTTCCAATGGTAAACAGTACCCCAGCTGTGGAGTGACAGAGGGGAATGCCCGAGGACCAGCTTAAAGCCATCGCAGTATCTCCGCTGCGGGGTAAAGTCCGTTTGATATTGAATACTTGCATGCGGCATTGGTTTCCTTATTTGTACGTTTACAGGTCAATACTAAATTAGAATTGTCGAAGCAGACTCATGTATCTTTTCTAGTGCTGATGTTTGAGCTTCATCCTCGGTGACGGTGGTTTCATACACTCATCTGCAGGTTAGTTAACTCAATTGTGGACCTGCCTTCCGGAATCAAGACAAGCCTAGTTAACCCGCCAAAGTTGTCCGCATAGCATGAAAGTAACAGATGCTGCGGAAGCCTCCCTGGGACGGCTGCAACTGATATGGGGGAGTAAGCTAAATGAGGTACCAAGTGCAGATAACATGACAGATCCGAAACCCACCATGCAAGAACCCAGATGTACAGGCCTGCGAGGAACTACCTGACAGCGATACAACTTTTCACATCGACAGTGAATTTACGTTCGACATAGCACTTCTCAGCCTCTGCTCAGCCAGCCTTTATTCAAGACCTAGTTTGATATGGGACAATGTGAAGCGACATGGACCAACCACTGCCACGGCCAACTAGGCTACTAACAAGTGCAACGCAGAGTCCAGTGTCTGAGGATCCCAATCGTGCTGTCGACTTGTTGCATGACTTTATCACCAGTGGGTGTATTCTCATGTGGGCAAGCCCACATAGTGACCTGGGGTTGATCGACGCTGTGACTACTTAGTATAGGAATAAGCCATGACGTGAAGTAGTTAAACCGTTAAGTGGCTGCTAAGCTTCTTGACTACTTTAGTGGGTGGACCACTGGAGAAGGCGTTGAAACTGGATTATTTGTACAGTCCCTGCGATGCCCGATGAGGTCGATGATAGGTGGATTGAAATGTATTCCCGCCTATAGAAACCAATTTATCGAGTTGCTCTGACTGGAGACTCCCAAAATAGCATGAATAAAAAGCATGTGGAATCAAAATTTTTTTTTGGGTTTTTGGGGACGTATACCTCTCTAGCATACCTGGAAATGTTGCTGGGGTGCCTGCGCCTATGACGTCGGCCTCGTCTGAGAGCCCGCTTAAAGTCCACGCTTTCGTCATACGCTGAACGTTGAAGATGGTGATGGGCAGAACATATTAATTTGAGTGACGTCGGGGTTGGGATAAATCATGCCGCCTGTTCTTAGTTGTCAATATGGCTCGCTAAGGTGAGTTCTGGAGCAGAAGCCTTGTAGATATACGTCATTCAAAGGACATGCCTCAGACGCACCAGGTATCTGACCAGCCTTATTACTCTACCCTCGCAGCGGTTCTGAAGCTGTCTGGAGCAGTTTTTTCAATCTGTCTGAGCTCCTTGATCATTTGGATAGTGCGCCAACCAACGAGCGATAACCATACCTACTGCGACATGATCTCAGATAAGGTGTACCAACTATGCCACCACGACAAGACAGTAAGCTCAGAGCTTGCGAAGGATCCAAGCCAATCGCCGGCAAAGTTGTTTGATAAGCTGTACCATGAGCACAGGGTGAAGGAGAAGCTCGTTGAAACCGAGCAGTCGACCAATGGCCATCAAGATGTTCTGCAGAGAGCGTATGAATGTGGGAACTGGGGAACAGCAAAACCGAGTAATCTATTTCTTAAGGTTAGATTGAATATCCCCTCCATCAAAGCAGTGATCATGGTAGATATGAAGAGATTATTTCTGACCTGTACTCATCAAAGATATACCACGACGCTCTCTGTACGTTGGACAAGAATCCTCTGGGAGGAGTCGTCTCTCCACCACTGATGGGCAGTCACGGAGTCGTTCCCTTGACCATTGTGGCCCCGTTGCCGGATCTCTGTCGGCATGTGGCAAACTGTATCGCTCGAGCTGAAAAGGAGGTATTCTTGGGTACCAATTTTTGGATCTACTCCGATGCATCGACCCTCGTAACCAACGCGTTTCGGGAACTGTCAAGACGAGCGGGCGAGCGGGGGAGCAAAGTGGTTGTGAAAGTGTTATACGACCGGGGAAGTCCTCAACAGCTCTTGGATAATCACCTGAGCGTCGGTGAGAAGCAGTATGCAGATCCAAATGGCAAGGTCCGACTGCCTCCTGCAAGTGAAATCCCCAACATTGACCTTCAAGTCGTCAACTACCACCGCCCTATCTTTGGAACCTTTCACGCCAAATTCATGGTCATTGATCGAAGGGTTGCTTTGCTTCAGAGCAGTAACGTTCAGGACAACGACAACCTCGAGATGCTGGTCCATGTTGAAGGACCCATTGTGGACTCGTTCTATGACACCGCGCTGATCTCGTGGGGGAAGGCACTCAAACCGTCCCTTCCAATGCTGTCCTCTCCGGCCGCAAGCGCCGACATTCCCAGCATCTCTGCTCAGCATGCAGAGGCTGAATCGAATGAAGACCTACGCTCTCCGTTACCTGAGCACACGACGCAGGATCCTCATTATGATTGTGATATCCAGCACGAGGCGCAAAGGGTCAACGACACGATTCGTCCCCGAGCAGGGGAATCAAAAACTCAAGCGGTCTCTCGCCATCTGAGTATGTTTCCTGTCCCTGTGGGTAGGCCGCAAGCTAAATAATCATTCAGATACTACAATTCAGCGAGACACAACCGGCGACGCCCCAGATAGCGACCAGGAACCGCCAATGCGACCATACGTGACTCTACCACCTCACAAGCCATTTCCTATGGCCCTAGTCAACAGAGAACCCTGGGGAGGCAAGTTTCTCTATTAGTACTTGAAAAGAATCAAGCTGCTAACAATACTTTAGCGCCAAACCATACCAGCACCTACACTCCACAAAACTCAGCCTTCCTCTCCGCCTTCAAACACGCGAAGCACTCCATCTTCATCCAGACTCCAAACATGAACGCAGAGCCAATACTGCAGGCTCTACTTGACGCAGTCCGTCGCGGTGTCACCGTCACATGCTATCTCTGCCTTGGCTACAACGACACAGGCCAACTCCTTCCCTTCCAGAACGGAACAAACGAGATGATCGCGAACCGACTATACCGCTCCCTGCATACGGACGAAGAACGCTCGCGACTGCGCATATACAACTACGTAGGCAAAGATCAGACCAAACCAATCCACAATAAATTCAAAAAGCGAAGCTGCCACATTAAACTTATGATCATTGACGAGCGGGTGGCTATACAGGGTGAGTACTACCCAACCCCCACACATACAATCGTACTGACAACTCAGGAAACGGAAATCTCGACACGCAATCCTTCTACCACAGCCAGGAAGTGAACATCCTCCTCGACTCGCCGCTTGTATGCCGTATCTGGTTGGAGCAGATAAACCAGAACCAGAACACGGCGATTTACGGCGCTGTGAGCACCGAGGACGGGTGCTGGCATGATCCGGTTAGTGGTGAGATACCCAAGGGCTCTATTGGGATTGACCCCGGACGCTTCAGTTGGGCTAAAGGGTTTGTTGGTGCTGTACAAAGGGTGAGAGGTGTTGGAGGATTTTAATTTTGCTCATTTTGGCCGGTATATATCTGCTTTTACTGTCTCTATATTGTTTTGGGTGAGCTGTCGCCGTCTACTTAGTGTAGATATCCTTTCAGTCAAGCTTGTCGATATCTCGGGATATGTTTGCAAGTGATGATCATGATCATACATTGGATGTATTATGTTGGACATGTACTACCGTCCTGTGGCACATTTGAGCGTCAAATGTCTTTTAAGTGATACTTCAATACAACGTCACGCTAGCATACGAGCCAAGAGCGCTGATGAAGAGGCAGCAACACATTAAATTCAGTATCATTATCAGCAATCTTTCATTCTGTCGACGTGAGAGTACTCGATCCTTCAACAGCATGTCCTGCCCCTACGACAAACCCATCGTCGACATCACCCAGTATGTATTCCACTACCACCTCGACGACGAAAAGGCCTGGTCAGCTGCGCGTGTGGCCCTCCTAGACGCCATGGGATGCGCCATCGAAACACTCTCGACGAGCGAGGAGTGCCAGAAACTACTGGGCCCGACTGTGCCAGGCACAGAGGTCCCGAACGGTTTCCGACTGCCAGGGACAAATCTCAGCCTGGATCCGGTCAAGGGAGCATTCGACATGGGCACTTTAATCCGGTACCTGGATCATAATGATGCGCTAGGCGGCGCAGAATGGGGCCATCCCTCTGGTAGCTAGACTTGTCCCGCATATCGAGCTGAGTAGCACTGACGACGGGGCATAGATAACCTCGGCGCCATCCTCGCAGTCGCAGACTGGCTATGTCGCGCCTCCGCATCAGGGAGGTACAAACACGCCGGCCCCCCACTCACAATGCGCACGTTGCTCACCGCGCTCATAAAAGCATACGAGATCCAAGGCTGCTACCAGATCAGCAACGCCTTCAATGCCTTTGGCATCGACCACGTCATCCTTGTCAAACTGGCCTCGGCCGCCGTCGTGGCCTGGCTCCTCGGTCTAACCGAGGAGCAGACGCTGGCGACGCTCTCGCATGTCTGGATGGATGGCCATCCGAGCAGGGTGTACAGGACGGGCGCGAACACGATTCCACGGAAAGGGTGGGCGGCGGGTGATGCGTGTATGCGCGCGGTGCATTTGGCTCTGCTCGTGCGTGCTGGACAGCCTGGTGCACCGACGCCGCTGAGTTCGTTGCCGTTTGGGTTCTATGCGCGGACGTTTGGGGCGAATGGGTTCGAGATGCCGCGACCGTTTGGGGTGTGGGCGATACAGAATGTCCTGTTCAAGGTGATGCCGGTTGAGGGCCATGGAATTGCGGCTGTTGAGGCGGCGCTTGTGCAACTTGGTAAGCTCCGGGCGAGAGGGCTAGGACCGGAATGTATTGCAAGGGTTGAGGTTCGGACGACCCGAGCGGCAGATTCGATCATCAATAAGCGAGGGCCGCTGCATAATGCTGCCGATCGTGATCATTGCATCCAGTACGTGATTGCGCTCGCCTTTCTGAAGGGCTCGGCACCGGAGGCGAGGGACTATCGAGATGAGAGTTACTGGGCCAGGAGCGAGGAGCTGGCTTCTCTGCGAGAGCGAATCTTCATTCACGTTGACGAGCTCCTTACGAGAGACTATTTGGATCTAAACAAGAAAAGCATCGGCTCCGCACTCACAGTTCACCTGCAGGATGGCTCTGAACTGCCCGAAGTGTTGGTAGAGTACCCTGCCGGTCATGTGCGAAATCCTGTCACAACTCGAGCAGTGCAAGAGAAGTTCGCCAAAAATATGCGGCTAATGTTTACCGAGAAGGAGACCTCGAAGATCCTCCAAGAGGTTGAGAAGGACGACCTACTCATCATGGATTTCGTCGAGCTTTTCGCGAGGCAATCATCACCAGGTCCGAGATTGTAGTGGCAATGCTGGAGTGCGACGTCATTGTCATCAGCGGGAAAAGAAACGTTTATCTGAATGTCTCAATGGGACCAGAGTAGCCAGCATGTGGTACGTGAATGAGGTAACTTGTCTTTGAAGAGCTTCATGGCAGCGTTCAACACAGTGGTGATTAAGCAACCTGTCAGGACCTCAATAAACGACTACTCAATCTTGCCAACTCCTTGAAGAGTAAGATAAACATCTGTCCCCCAGCCCCACAGGCTCTGAATAGCGATACTGCCACCAAAGTATTCCGCGTACGCTCTGCTAAGCGGCAATCCATATCCAAGTCCCGCAATACTGCTCAGCTGGCCTCCACTAGCAGACATTGTGTTCAGCGCATCGAGATTTCCGTTATCCGAGTCCAGCAGGTTTGAATCGGAGAACGTAGTGAAACTATAGGACCAGATGTTGGGCAATACCTCGCGGGGGATACCACCACCCCTGTCTCGTATTCTAATGGTTATGCTCTGCGATGATGGTGTTGAAAATTTAATTGACTCGTTGGCATCTGCCGTACCAACCACGGTGTCCATCTTGAAGCCAACATCGGCATCAGGGTAGATACCCGGGGCATTTGACATTCTCCCAAGCGCACCGTGGGTCCGATGGACCGGAACGTCTGGTGCTGCAGCAATCGTAACTTCAATGGGCTCACGTTCGTTGCCTGACTCAATAACCGCGCGAAATGCATTCTTCAGAAGCTCGGTGATGATGTACTCGACATGCACGGGTACGTGCGCAAACGTGGCGTCCGGTTGACCCCCGATCCTTAGGCGCGGCCGCACGCCATATTTCAGCTCACAGATCTCCCCAACAAAATCTTCGCATACCTTCACGATGCGAGCCGGCTGTAGGGCCGTGTCAATCACACCTATATAATTCGACGGGACGTTGTTCTCAGACGACTGCTCTGTTCTGGAACTGATACCACTAACTGGCTGTGAGGCAAAGTGAAGGGCCAGATGTTGCTCTGCTATAAGCCGGGTGCCAATCCTCGCTCGTAGATGGGTGTCTAGAAAACGAGTCACATCGGTTGAACTGATATATTTCCGGCATTCAAGAAATCCCCGTGCCAGTATGGGTATTGTATTTGCATGCGTATGCACTAGGTCCGCCAGCACATCTGCGAACTTATTCTCCTCTTCCAGCGTTGTGACCTGCCGTTGCTGATAGGGCAGAAGAGTCGATAAGGAGTGAACGTAATTGTTATAGATCTTCGAGATGTGTGGGTTCGAAACGACGATGAAAGGGAGGTTTCGTAACGCTTGTATACGAGATGCCAGTCGGGCAGGTAGAAGGGATAGTGTGAAATTCGCAGAGGCGAGCAGCGCCTCTTTTGACAAAGGTGGGCGTCCGTGCCTGAAGGGAGACAAAGTGGTCAGAAAAATGATCAGATGTTCCAAAAAGAGAAACCTGCAGTGCCTCACTTGAGTAGATCTGCAAGCGTCAGTGGACATCGACGGCTAGCCGCAAGACGCGCGACTTCATCATTGGCGCCTTGTGCAAATGACTGATGTAGAGCCGACTCATGTTGATCTTGAGGTGGTGATGTCGAGTAACATCGCACCTTGTAAAGGGAGTGAGAAGGCAATTGACCCTTCAGCTGATGCTTATATTTTAGAGTCGATACCCTAAGAATCCTTGTGGCTGTCATCATGGACCCTAGCCATCATGAACGAGCTGAGCAACAATGGTTAAGTCATTGATATCGAGTATTGACGATGACTTCACCTTAACTCCGGATCGCCGCCGCAGTGAGACTTTACCGAAAATGGATATTGACACGTGATAGGTATCCCCTAAGCCAGGATCGACTCATGGATCTAGGTATGTCTTCAAGTGCAACTCTCTCCGACATGGAAACCCATCAGTATCGGTATTCCACTTTTAAAGCCCGTCTTGATACCTTGATTTAGTGATGAATAGCCTCATGTATATTCTCTTTTTCTGTGCTCTAGTCGTTCAGTTACCAGCTGGCAGTCGATGTCGGTTATGGAATAGAGGACGACTCGGAGTCATTCCGAAAGCAATTACCACATCATAAGTATACCAGTAGACTATCTATAACGCATACATATAGCTACACATAACTGTAGCTGAGGTCCAGCCCTGACGTTATGCCGTTCAGATAGGGTATCATCCTCCGAAACATCATTGGGATCCACCAAGTTCAGGTTCTATGGAGGATGAACGACGAATGAAAAGAGAGTCGAGAGCCCTAGTCGGCACTTTGCATCACTGGATCCTGACTTCTTGATCCTTCTCGACATGGATGTGGGGGTTGCTCTCGAGGATACCGACTTGCTCCTCTGGGAATTCAACGCTGATTGAAGGTCAGCCGAATAATTTCCAACTCTGCAGTGCAAAAGAACAATGCCATACGTGAACGCCTTGATGAGAGTGAACTCGTGCTTGATGGTTCCCCCTTGTTCCTGGGCCGCCTTCTTTGCGCTAGATGGGGAGAGGTAGACGTAAGCATATGCGGCTGGGAAGGCGATCATTAAAGGGGGCCTCACTTCTCCAGCTCCTCGGGTGGAGCATCTGGTTTCAGGGTGATCTAGAGCATACAGATCAGTCAAAGACTCTGTGGATGATGAAACTTGTCAAAAGGTGGGCGACAAACATTGTAGAGAGGCATCTTCAGAGACGCTACGGGGATGCTATTATTAAGGTAATGAGTTCTTGATTGTTGCGACAGACGGAGATGAAGACGCGAGTCTGGTCGGAAGGCAAGGTAGTAAGACCGTAAGTGAGAAACAGAACGGGTCAGGTGGGTAACTCGAGGGGAGAGGGACAATTTATATGGCCTGCGGGGATCCCAGACTGGAAGTGAAAGGGGTCTGATAAGGAAGCAGCTGGAGAGGGGAAACTATGGCAAGGCTACCACATATGTCGTCCAAAGTCGTGCCTCGGGGCTTACGCTATCGGAACCATACAATAATGAGCATTCAGACTACAAATAAAAGAGCTGATTCGTGGCGTATCTAACTAACTCAGAACATTCTGAAACGTCTGCGTGGTATGTTACAGCGATAGAGATTGCAATGGTGTTGTCATTGCGGGAAACCAGAGAGTAAATGAATGTTTACACCCCACCCACGCAACTACTACACTGCAGATGGAAGAAACTGTAACATAGGAATTAAACTTCTTTTCAGATTGTATGCACTTGTGCAGGTTGAGCAAGATGACGCTATTCTGCCACCAAATTAATCAACACGATATATCTATGCACCAACAAAGGCGGGGTGACAAGGCTCCGCGCATCTGCAGTAGCAGCACGATGACGATATTGAATGAGCTGATGAAGGCGGGGCAATCGGGTCACGTGTCGGTACACAAAGTGCTCTACAGCCCTAGAACATCACTTCAGGCGGCTTATTTGGGGCATTGTATAATGAATCGAACTGGTTTGTAGATTTTACCTACTCAGTACCTGCGGTGATTGCTGGTCTTCCGTGGGATCTGCCTGCCATTTGTGAAAAATGTCGGCTCTGGGCTGGACTTTGTTTTGGCCCAATGCTTTCCTTGACCGAGCACGGTGAGAATTGAGAGCTCTCTCGAGCTGGTCGTCCGAATGAATGACTGGCACCATATGAATATTGTGTCTGAGGGGATATCAAGCCTTAATGTTCCCAAGCATGCTTCGAACCTGAGAACTGGTCTCGCTTCTTCAGAACAGAAAGGGCGACTTCTAGTTTCGACCAGCTGTAGTTCACTCGTGATAGGAACAGAAGCATGGAATATAGTACTGTTCAATATTCGAAGTCGGACTCCCTTTTGCAAGGAGCTTCCTAGGAGATACAAAATTGCTCATGGACGCAACTATAGACCAACATAGCCACTATCATCGGTTTCCCGCCGTGGCATTTGCAACCCATGCAGTCCCCTATAATTGGGGCTCTCAGGCTGTTTCCAACCATCCAGTATCTTGGGATCGGCCAGCTTGTACACCTCCACACCTAGCGGACGGGTAGTAGCTCCCATCTTCTCGCCCTTCGCCTCCCATCCCCATTGAGAGAGATCTCCTGCAGTTGACTCATTAGCATCAGGTCCCCAGTCTGGACTCAACGTGGAACGCATACCTCCAGGGCAAGCAGACAGTGCACAGAGCACATCTACTTCGGCAAAGAACTCAAAGTATTCTCCCGGCTTAGCTGGCGATGTCTCCATAAAGTACTTTCCTTGCTCATCCAAACCCGTTACCTGAAAGACGTTAAGAACATCATGAACATCCAATTCAGTCAAGCCATAAGGCATGATCGCGCGCGTCAAGTTCGAGTGGCAGTGGAAGTCAAAGGTTTCTCCACCCATGAGCAGATTGACGTAGGGATCGCATCTGGTTCCAAGCAAATCATGAACACGTCCACCCCATTGCGAAGTACCAAAGCCAACGCCCTCCTTCCGCTGGCCGTTAACTTCCAAAACCTCATGTAATTGTCCACCATTCAGGGAGTCTCCAGTTATGGTGACGAGGGGCCGTAGATATGGCAGGTTTGACCACAGGCGGTCACCGACCGACACATGGGAAGCGTGGATTTGACGCGTGCGAGCAGCCCAAAGTCGCTCTCGGGGATTATTCGCATTCCAAATGTTGAGATCGCCCACTTGGGGCCCTTTTGGTGTAGTCAGTCGACAGATATGCCCGGCTGGCACAACCCATGCCTGTCCGGAGCAGGGACGAATAGTGAATGATGTCTCGAGAATCCTCCCCGAATCGCTGGAAGCACTCTCCGAGATATTCCTATAGACTTGGGACGTGCCATACACTGCTGAATCCTTAGCGGCAGTGTACGCGGGTGGAGGCCGACGAGGTGTAGTCATTATTATGGATGTGTTCGCTGAAAACCGTTGCTATAACTTGGATTCAAACCCAAATGACAGGTTGCGCCAGCGGATGACCTCTGGCTTTAATAGGGAGCCAATTCGGCTTCATTCCGGAGGCGGCCGCATGCCACATGGGGTCAAGCCCCGCTCATACCCCAAGATTCCAGAACTGCCCCAAGTTTATCAGCCTTTTTGGTTACGAGATGGATACTGAACCTCTGTCTTTCCAGATATGCCGGGCCGAATCCTAGGGCACCGCCCTTATCGCCCATGACCGGGCCGGAGTGGGTCCGATAACGGCATGTCTGGTCAGGCGACAATTATTCTGCCCCAGGCATTAAGGCCACAACATTCAAGCAAAAACTTTTTTTTGATTGATATCGGCAGGGAGAAATTCCGCGCCGGCAAAAGGAAATAATAATTTGGGTCAAGCTTGATAGAAGATCAAGAAGAGATCGTCGGGTTTGCTTCGCCTTGCGCTGAAATCTTTTTATCAATAGGAAATTACTTTTCCTTAGAGGTCATAGACCTCGAATTACCAAGATGGAGGATCAGTCGAACAGGGCGCATCGGCCCGCAAAGGAGAAAAAGAAATACAGTGGTATGTTCAATGCTTGACAAGCTCGTTATACAGACTCAACATCTTGGCTTGACATTTTCTCTGTGAAGACAACATACTGATATGATACTTGATTCTCCAGGTGCTAACCCGAAGGCATTCGCATTCTCGAATCCTGGAAAGGGTGGCAGACAGGCTGCGCGATCCCACGATGTACGCATTCTTCTTTGCACCCTCATCTTATCTCCGCAGAACTTGTCCGCCGATACTTATACCAATATAGATCAAAGAGAAGAGGCTACATGTACCCTTGGTGGATCGTCTGCCCGAAGAGGCTCCTCCGCTTGTCGTTGCGGTTGTTGGACCTCCAGGTGTAAGTTATTCCGCTTGATGATGACGACCATCCTAAAGAAAATTTGAGAAAATGGTTCTGACAATCGTTCACTTTTGCAGGTTGGAAAAACTACCCTTATCAAGTCCTTGATTCGTCGCTATACGAAACAGACACTTAGTACACCCAAAGGGCCTCTGACGGTGGTGACGGCCAAACGCCGGCGGCTCACAATCATCGAATGTCCTTCCGACTCCCTTGCTAGCATGATCGATATCTCCAAAATTGCGGACATTGTTCTTCTGATGATCGACGGCAATTATGGGTTCGAGATGGAGACCATGGAATTCCTCAATGTCTTGGCCTCTAGTGGTATGCCTGGAAATGTGTTCGGCATCTTGACGCACCTGGATCTTTTCAAGAAGCAGAGCACCCTTCGCGCGGCGAAAAAACGATTGAAGCACCGTTTCTGGAGTGAACTCTACAACGGCGCAAAGCTTTTTTACCTCTCTGGCGTTGTGAACGGCCGCTATCCTGACCGCGAAATTCATAATCTCTCTCGCTTCCTGTCCGTCATGAAGAATCCTCGACCGTTAGTTTGGCGAAACTCTCACCCTTACGCGCTTGCAGATCGGTTTCTGGATATCACACCTCCAACCCAGATTGAAGAGAATCCCAAGTGCGACCGGACCGTCGCGTTGTACGGATATCTGAGGGGAACGAACTTTCCCGCTCAAGGCGCACGAGTTCACGTTCCTGGCGTTGGCGACTTGACAGTTGCGGGTATTGAAGCTCTCCCAGACCCGTGTCCGACTCCGTACATGGACCAGCAACTTGCCAAGACATCTGGCAGGGCAAGCAAACGCAGACTAGGCGAGAAGCAAAAACTCCTATTTGCCCCTATGTCAGATGTCGGTGGTGTTTTGGTCGATAAGGATGCCGTATACATTGACATCAAGACATCGAATTTCGAACGAGATGAAGATGAGGACAATCAAGATCGCGGCTTGGGAGAGCAGTTGGTTGTCGGTTTGCAGGGTGAGCGCAAATTGCTTGGTGAGGCAGAGGGTGGTGTCCGTCTCTTCAGCGGCGGTGAGGTTTTAGAAAAGGCGGATGATGACGGGGACAATGTCGGCAGAAAGGAGAGGAGAAAAGTGAGAGTCATGGAAGGAGAGAACGATCAGCAGGAACTCTCGGATGAGGATGAAGGGTTCGAAAGCGGAGAAGACGAAGAATTAGATGAGGATGGAGAAGGCGACGATCTCAGCGACGGGGAGGACGGTGACCTGGAAGATGTCTCCGCCCCACCAGATTTTGAAGAGAACTTCAAACAAAGGCAGAATGGGAGTGCCCATCGTGAAGAGGGAGATCTTGCCTTTGCAGACAGTGATTCCGACCTGGGTTCCATTTCGTCTGTTGAGGATCAAGAGCTCGAAAGCGACGTTGACGAGGACGACGTGGATGAGGATGATGACGGCGCGCTTCGTTGGAAAGAAAACATGATTGCCAATGCGAAGGCCCTTCATGGCAAGCGACCAAAGTTCCGCGTTGCTGACCTTTCACGGATGATGTACGACGAGTCTATTGCCCCGGCAGATGTGGTGAAGAGATGGCGGGGCGAAGACGAGGAGGAAGAAGGATTCGAAGACGAGGAGCGAGAAGAGGACGAAGACGAATTCTTCAAGAAGACCAACACGGAGAAGGAAGAACAATCGGATTATCGTGCTGTTCCTGAATATGATTATGAGAAACTGGAACAAAAATGGCAAGACAGTGATATGATC